TTTTTTTTTTTTGGTGGGCGGGGGGGGGGGTTAGATGGTTGAAATCATCAAAGCAACTAAAGAGGCACGGGGTTGACTTTTGTCTCACCAGATTTGCGTTAATTTTACCTTCCATATCCTGTCACAGACCGTCAACACTCCCAATCTTGTCGGGAGTCTCCCGACTTGGGGACATATCTCGATATGTCCCGATTCAGACGATAAATCTCCCGATCTATCAAGCTTTTCTCTGTTTCCTTTCGTTAGAAATTGCGATTACTTCATTCACGAAAATGTGCAATCACATAATTGCTTTCTAATATTCTTACACAATATATTGTGTCCTAGATGGAGGGTAGTGATCGCAGTTAACAATAAGAAGGGAATGCCAAAAATAAAACCAGAGATAATAAAGCCATAATGAGACCTATATATATCCCTTTAAATAAGAAACAGATAACGATTGGCAATGTTTTAAAATATTTAAGAATTGCCCACTCAACATATTGAATATTATGAGTATTCGAAGAATCGGCCAATCAACACAGCGGAAATACCCCATTGACGGGCCCTGGCTATGGACTGGCAATGTGAGCCTCTGTTGACCCTCCTGAGCTTCAGAGATACCTTGAAACTTGCCTCCACGCTATCGCCTACTATACCCCTGCTGTTTCAAGTAGGCCTGATCTCTGAATCTCAGGGTGCTGTTGACAGACAAGCATAAAAACAGTCTGATCTAAGTGCCTGGATAAAGTTATTTGAGAACCTCTCAGGCAAATGCATTAAAACAAAGCTGTCATTGAATGGTGTCATAATTTTGCTGTAAAATGCATCTGTCAATTGAAATGAATAGAAAAAAGCCTATCCAAATTATTGATCTTTAATCATTTATCATTACATGGTATAGAAAAGATGCATATGGCTGTTGCGGTAATGACTCGATCTTTTCAATGGCGAAAATTATCAATTTTTTAGATTCATTATTTAAGAATCATTGAAAAAATATATTTCTGTGTAGCAACTGTGGTACTTTCTGAAAAAAAAATAGAATTATAAGGTAGCCTTTTTTCAGTTTTGTTGCTACCACTAAAAAGAACGTTTTGATTTTAAGAATTAATGGTTTAGAAAATTACAGTATCTGTAAAGTTCACATTTTTTCCTGTGAAAAGATCGAGCTATCGCCGTAACCTAGGCTGAGGTAAGAAACAATACATGTGTGAAGATTTCTTTAATTACTGCTTTGTCAAAGTTAAAGCATTCTAGTGCCTGGTGATAATAGTAAAAATGCATTTCTAAATATCAATAAAATGAAAAAAAAACACGATATATTTATGTAGATATATTTTATTAAAGACAGTTTTCATATTGCGCGGTAAAAACATAATATTAACATGGCCCATTTCTGATATCACAGGGGTCTTTATAATAGCTTGTTCCAAAGTTAAAAAAGAGACTTTTCATCAGTTTTGTAACAGACCATAACAGCGACCCGTGTGGTCAGCGAGTTGTCCGGACACACTGTTTGCGTAATTCATTTAAACTGTCATCGATAAATACATTTAAAAAACTGAAATGAGGAATGTGCGTATTGGGTCACAGCTAGTTGTCACAATATACAGCCGCAATAAATTAACTATTGGCCTATGGAAAGAGGTATCTTGGGCTGTCTATTTTTAAATTGTTAAATTTTTTAATTTGTCTTGCAGCAAAAATGCATTCTTGCTTGAAGTTTCATAAATTATTCTTCTGTGTAAAAGTTTGCAAGTACTTGCTGTATTGAGTAGTTTTATTTTTATATATGAATATCTTCGTAGCAGTAGACATAACAATATCAGGAGTCAAGTGTCCTACCCTGATTCATACGGGGCCCAGTACTAGTTATTTGCACAAGAAGGTATTTATGGCTATTTGCAAATTAAGTAGGAGATCTGGATAAGTAAAGCCTACAATCGTTGCGTATAGTGTTTCGGGTGGCATCGTGCCGATCATCGACAAAAACGCAGGTCAAGATATGTAGTTTAAAAATTTATTAAGCTGCGGTGGTGACTGTTTAAATTGCCCACCGAGTTGACTTATGACCAGATGACATTGTTTTAACGATTAAAATCGTCATAACGTTCTCCGTTTGTGTGGACGGCAATGACAGCCAGCAATTGCAATAGAGGGGTTCTTTTTCTGAAAATGTGGAGCTTTGGTCGCACATGTATGCCTCCATGTACATGTATGACTTTTTTCATCCATTGTTCTGAGGCGGGACAGACATTTAAGCCGGCTAAGCTGACAGTAATCTAGTGAGACTCCCCACGGGGATAGATCGATCTAAAATCTGTGGGAATGGGGTCTAACCCTAACCTGTACTAATTATATGGGACCCGGGCTTCTGTTATTAAGGCTACCATTCCTGTCACACCGGGTCAAACCAGTAAAGACTTGGGTTTCTCTACTGTAGCATTCTTTATGCAGGTTTGCAATCTGTTTCACAACTGTAGCATTTTTAACTCGGTTTGCAGTCTATCTACAGCACCAATCTTATTGCTCTCAGATTTCTGCTTCATAAATTGTTGTGAATATCAGAGTTTTAATCGCCTGTTGCACAGGATAATTTACAAACAATGGTAATTACGCGCTACTTCTGTCCATGTCTGGTATATCACCCTTCACGCATTTAAATTTCTATTAAAAATTCACACCGTACTGTAATTGAATAATACGAAAGCTTGTGTCCCACATTTAACTCAACTGACAGCATATGAATTATTCTAAAATAATCCATAATCTATAAACAAGTATATATTTATTTTTTACCCCAAAGGATATATTAGCGAAGGCGTATGTGTAGCAGCAGTGGCGTCTCTCTCACAGTTTGAAAAGGACAGGTATGGTCGTGTTGCTGCTAGTGATGCACCGCGCAACCACTTTACGGCAAGCTAGACGATGACCCTTTAACACGAAACAATTAACCGACGTTATATATTTTATGGGCACATTCGGGACTAAGAAAGCCAGGAGATGTAGTTACCCTTTGTACCTATTATTTTAAGAGTGCTTGTGTAAAAGAGACAATATTAATGAGAAATATTTATCTTATGAACGCACTTCCGGGTTGGGGGTCCAACCCCCTTTGATGTCAGTGCCTAAAAGCTGCTGACCCCGGCCCATAATTCAACTCTCCCATCTTTTACAAAATATTGCATATACATGTAAGTTATTGTAACTTGCAGCCTTCCAAGATCGATGCGAGATCTGTTCATGATAATGCCATCTTGATTTATCAACAAAAAGATATGGGTGTCATATTTTAAAAGTTGTAAATGATTCAAATTATTGTAATGGAGTCGCAAGCGTGAGAGCGCGACTCAATAGTTCTTTATCTATTGCAATAGCTTTTATCTTTTTAATAGTTCTTTATCTTTTTCCTCTTTAAGTTAATTTTGGCACGCCAATTTACTAGAGGTATAGATTCTGTAAAGAGTAGTTTTGGATTACATGAAAGTTGAATCGATTGTGTTTTGCTCTCTCTCTTGGTCAAACTGAAATCGAAAATCGTGACTCGATAGATGAGTTCTTATTACAACTCCAAGAGCGTCTGAAGTGAGACCTTA